GAGAGAGAGAGAGAGAGAGAGAGAGAGAGAGAGAGAGAGAGAGAGAGAGAGAGAGAGAGAGAGAGAGAGAGAGAGAGAGAGAGAGGTTGTTGATGTTTTTTTTCAGACGTTTGAAATGTTGTTGATGTTTTTTTTTTTTTTTTTTACCTTTTCTTTTCGCTTCCATCATTGCCCGATGTTGATGGACTACGATTCAGATAGAAGATGACTGTAATCAGACAACATCGTCGTTTCATCCGACGATGAATTTAATGACGACGACGGTTATGCGCATGGTTGTTGTGACGACGTGGACACTGTTAAGTTAAGCACCGTCGTCGTGATATCGATGATGACCAATCGTCATCATCGATATCGCAACGTCGATACTGAAATTGACAGTGTCCACGTCGTCACAACTGCCATGCGCATGGTCCTCGTCATCATCGAATTCGTTGTTCGATGAAACGACGATGAAGTTGTCACCATCGCACTGTCATAAATGCATGCATGAAGGTGACATATGGATCTCATTTGTTGTCATGAAAAAAAGAATACAACATATTACTTGTTTATTTTTATGTGGAATGTGATCTGCTGCATGCTGTCTTAAAATAAAAATAAAAAAATTAGAACAAAAACGATGGCCACCATTGTTTCTCGCCAACACAATGAACGAGCCGTACTTTTCCGTTCTGTAATCTGGAGAGAGAGAGAGAGAGAGAGAGAGAGAGAGAGAGAGAGAGAGAGAGAGAGAGAGAGAGAGAGAGATGAATTTCGAAGCTCGCAATATGCACATTAAAAAAGGACATGGACCGCCAACGCACGCACACACACACACACACACATACACACACAGGCACACACACACACTGAAGTGCCCCACACACACTGTAACGTCACGGGTTCGCAGCCGGTCCACCGTGAACAGGGACGTGGTGGTTCACATGATCTGCCAAGCTTGCCATTATCCGCTTTGCTAGATCACTACCATAGCTAGGTGCATCCTCCGCAGCGACTTCGACGGTGAGGTCTGGTAGATGTCGTTGCACTCGCCGACGTCGGTGCCACCGTCGACGGACTGGGCAACGAGGGCCCTCCCCGTCGTTGTCGCTGTTGTCATCCATTAACGCTGGGTCGATCTCCAACCCGTGATCTATCATGAGGTTGTGGAGAATGCGCACCGCCATTATCTCCTTGCACAAAGTTTTCAAGTTCGATAGGTGTGTGTGGATGAAATTCCGCCACACACTCTTCAAACGGCCGAATGTCCGCTCAATGCAATTCCTCGCTGACGTGTGACACTTGTCGTATGTGCTATCTGCGGATGTTCTCCCAAATCTGCCCATTGGAATCATAATCCACTGTGGAAGAGGGTAACCGGCATCGCCTAAAAGATAACGCCCAACATGCCTCCCGTCGTGCAGAATCGCTCCGCCCTCGCTCAACACTCCTTGACCCCAAGTTGTGTTACGGTATAATGGCGACAAACGCAACGCACGTGAATCGTGCACAGACCCTGGACAGCCAACGAACACGCTCAGAATCCTGCACTCGTGGTCGCAGACCACCTGCACGACAACCGAAAAGTCACTGGTGTGATGGTAGTAGCACTCTGATCGCGTTCCCTTTGGCTTCTCGATGTACACGTGGGTGCAGTCTATAGCCCCAACGCAACCAGCAAACCCGTTCGCCTCGAAAGCGTTTTGCACTTCCTCCAAACGCCGTCCTATGGGGAAGCGAAGAAGATGGCCATACTCATGGATCAAAGCATCAACGACTTCTTCGTTGCTCCGCAATGCACTGGCGAGGCCCATACCCAGAGCTTGGGATGATTGTTTGTAGTACCCGCCGGTCGCCCACCTGACAAGGGCGCATGCACACTTCTGCTCGACAGGTAACGGGAGTTGGAAATTGGTGGGGGAGCGCTGGATATGAGGACCGATCCGAGCAAGGACTTCCAAAAACAACGGCCGTGAAAGTCTGCAAACTGCCTGAAGACCTTGTCGTGTTCCGGCCCCGTTCGTTGCAGGTCCCTCCAAACACCCCCGCCCCGGTCCACCACCCATAGCCGCCGTCTTCGAACAGTCATGTGTCTTTCCAGCTGCCGCGCCGCCAAACACGTTAGAGCCATGCCGTGGATCACCACCCCTGCCAGCATCGTCAGCGCCCCAGACACATCACGGAACATGAATGGCGTCACAGACACAGCTTCGAGGACAGCCATGGCCACCGCATTGCGCCTGTTCACCCACTGCGTCATGGTCAGAATGAGGAAAATCAACATGTCCTCCCAACCCTCCCCCGGACCGGATGCATGCTGAGGATCCATGGTTTCTGTGTTCCGCTGCAAGGATGGCGGGGGCTGGGCCACACACACACACACACACACGCACACGACGTCGGCGATGGCAACTATCCACAGTTCTTCGTCATGGCCACACATCGTCTTCATTCGCCGCCTATGGTAACCTGGGGCTCGATGTCCCGATTTGTGGCACTTCCCGTCTCGGGTCCCGAGGGCGGAAGCGGACAAGCTCCGATGAGGCCCATAAAGGAATATTTTCTGTTCTTGGAATTCACATTCAAATACCCAAAGTTCCAACGGGCCGTTTTGGACGCCCGGGGACAGCTGAACGAAGTACCCCGCCACCTATTCTATGCCACACATCACACACTGCCATGCAGTGCCGCACACCGACATGT